GTTTGTCGTGCGCCTTGCCTGTGTGAGCAGCCGTCGTTGATTATCGCAAATTTTGAGTAGTCCGCGCTCGATGGAGATGAAACAGCCTGTCTCATCGAGTTGACCCAGGCTCACAAGGTTAGCCTTGAGCCTCGGGATGAAGTAGACGTCGGTGAGCTTGCGATGCTCGCCTCCCTTGCTGGCGAACAGGATGGTGCCGCGTCCTTCGATCTCTACGACGGATCCGTCGCCGAATTTCACCGTCCCGCGGATCCCCGAGTCGAGTTCGGAGAATGCAGATCTAGTCCCGGTCATATGGTTTGTTGCCCCTGTGTCTAGGATCCATCGCCGGTCCTTGTGTTGCTCGTCCCGCTCGCTGATCTGAGCGAACACTCGCTCCTCCTCCAGTTGAATTGGCTCCCCAGCTGGTGCCACCTTCGCTACGCCCAGCTGGAGCTCTTTCTCGAGTTCAACATCGTTGTTGATTACCTCCATTTCCGTGGATTTGGAATCGACAATGGGGACACATGCACTTACCATGAAGAGAGCTGGCTCGTCCTCCTCGGATTGAGCCACATGGGCCTTTTCGACCTTCTCCTTGTTCCTAAGCTCCTAAGCTTGCTCCAGCAATTCCTGCTTAGGTGTCCTCTCTTCCCACAGTTCGAGCAGATTGGCCTGCCATTGGTCGACTCATTCTTTTGATTCCCATCTTTCCCGCGCATGCGCCCGTGGGAGATCCATGGCTTCTTACCGTCTTTGCGGCTGGAGGAGGACCCGTTGCTCTGGCCGGTGTTGTCACGGAGCTTTAGACGTGCAAGCCATTCCTCCTCTGTGAGGAGTAGACGACCCCCCTTGTCGACAGCTGAAATGGTATTTTTCTTCCGCTGCTCGACGTTACGCAGTCTTCCGGTCACCTCTTCTACCGTTAGGTCGTTCACGTCAAGCAATGTCGCAGTCTTCCGGTCACCTCTTCTACCGTTAGGTCGTTCACGTCAAGCAATGTCGCAGAAAAATCATCGACGGATTCACCGTCCTTAAAGTGGATCTCCGAGAGCTCCTTCCGCAACTGCTCGATGTTGGATTCCCGCACTCGCTGTACACCGACCCGACAGGATTTGATTCCCTCCCAGGCCGATTGCGCGGTGCGCTTGGTGGAGAGAGATGCCAGCATCTCTGGGGGCACAGATCGTAAATATGGCGGCGGCAAACGCCAACCGATCCTCACGGTACTCAATCGTTTCTCCTTCCTCTGGCTCAACAGCATGCCATAACCCTTGCGCCTGTAGGTTGACGCGCATCAACAAGATCCATTCGTTATAATTGGACTTTGTCAATATTGGATACTGAACGACGGTGATGGAGATGTCGGCACATGACGACGACGTGGAGGAGTGAGTGAGCCTGCCCGAGATGGGCCCCACGATGTGTGTGTTTTTACACTTTGCATTTTCTTCTACTCGAACCTGAGACCTTTGTGATGTTAGGTCAAAGCTCTAACCACTCGAGCTATCCAACTTGTTTGTTGATAGGTTGGCTCCTCTACAATGATATACACCGATCTTCAGAACAAATCTCCTATTTAAAGTAAAAAAGAATTCTAAAATTGGCTGGAGAGTGGCCAACTAAATCTGTGCCACTCCCTTCTAAAACTCTGGTGATCCATTCGACGTGATTTGTCAAATGGTCAAACTCACGATTTTCTGAAATCGTGTGAATAAGAAAAACGGTAAAACTCAGGTTTTATCTAACAGACAACAGGGCTAATTCACTTCCATGAAAGCTATTGGATCCTATATGATGTCTTCTCGACTTTGTGGATAACTTTGATGGTCTATAGTATTTTCGCACCAATCTTTGATTTGGGTTGTTTGACCTTAGAATTGATCTTACCTCAATTTTATCAAAACTCTCTCTCCGCCTTGAAATTTTTGTGACCGACACTTCTAACCGGTCTTTCTCTTCATCCGTCTGGATGTTACTTCTGCGTGAACATGTGTTGTTTCAGAGGTATGTCTATGTCCCTCTCCTTCGTCGACGACATTGGCTTGGTGTTTCTCCCCAACCTTTGGGTGATCATTAGTGTTAGAAAAGGTATAAATACCTAATCTTTTTCCCGTAAACTCATAGCAAAAAACAGAGAGCAAAGAAATACAGTGCAATTGAAAAGGTTTTTCTGTTTATAAAATCAGTGTTCTTTTTCTCCTTGTCTCTCCTCTCTCTCGACATCTCCTTTACAAGTACGCGAGTAGTACTTTCACAAAGAGGTATCAGAGCGTTCTATCGTTAGTGAGTGTGAGATTGCTTCGCAAATTAATGAGTGTTATTTTAACAAATTGGTATCAGAGCCGATGGCGAATATGATTGATCAAATGCCACTACTACGATTAATGAAAACGAACTACGAGAATCGGAGCATCCAAATGAAAGCTCTTCTCGGTTCTAAAGACGCATGGGAGATGGTCGAAAAAGGTTTCGAAGAACCAAAGGATACCAGAGGTTATATGATGGCACAAAACAAGACGTTAAAAGAATTACGATCAAAGGATAAGACTACATTATACATGATGTTCCGAGCCGTTGACGAGTCAGGCTTTGAGAAGATTGCCAGGGCAACTACTTCAAAAGAAGCGTGGGACACTTTAGAAAATGTATTCAACGGAACCGACCGAGTCAAGCAAGTGCGTCTCCAAACTCTTTGTGGCGAGTTGGAGAGCATGAAGATGAAGGAGTCAGAAAATGTATCTGACTACATTATGTGGGTACAGACTCTGGTAAACCAACTAAATCGAAATGGAGAAATGTTACCCGAGATGTGGGTTGTGGAGAAGATCTTGAGGTCATTAACCAACAACTTTGAGAATGTTGTATGTGCGATAGAAGAGTCAAAGGACCTAGCGACGTTCACGGTCGATGAGCTCATTGGTTCTCTCGAGGCACATGAGCAACGTAAGAAGAAGAAGGAGGAGACACTCGATCAAGCACTTCAAACCAAGACATCAATAAAAGATTTAAAGGAACTCTACTCTCAAAATGTTCAAGTAGAGGTCGTGGAAGTCGCGGAAATGGTCAAGGTGGTCAAAGTAGCAGTTATGAAGAACATTATAAAAAGAAGAGATAGTCGAGCCAAGAAAATTGGTGTTGAAGAGGATGCAGTCAAGAATATTATTCCAACATCCAGTGCTATAAATGTCAAAAATATGGTCACTATGCGAATAATGGTAACTCCGACAAATGTTACAATTGTGGTAGAATGGATCATTTTGCAAGAAATTGTCGAGGCGAGGAAAAGGTGGAAGAAATGGTCAACCTAGTTGTGGATGACGCAACAAAAGAAGACATTCTCTTGATGGCCCAAAATGAAGAGCTAAAAACAAAAGAAGACTGTGGCATGAAAGACGATGTCGGTAGTCGTGAGGCGATGGAAACTGTTGAAAATGAGGTGATATGCAGCGGATTTGGCGAAATCACGATATCGGAGATGAGAAAATCGATGAAGGATGAACAACCGGATAACAGAGAGCTTCAGCTCAAAGAGAGAGAGATCCAATGGTGAGAAAGACAATTTGAAGAAGAAATAAGAAAGAGGATGAGAATGGAAGAAAAAATGGAAGAAGAAAAGAAAGATTTAGAAATGAAGATTGAAAGGTTAGAGAAGAAAGTGGATGAGCTGAGTGAGAGTTCTTTCTATCTCAAACAGGAGAAGGAAGAGAATGGGAAGGTAATCCCTAAGCTTGTGAAGAAAATTGAAGAAGGTGTGGAGAAAGAGAATGACTCGTTAATGGAGATTGATGGGCTAATAGAAGAGCTAGTGAGGGGAGAGAAAGATATAGAGATACTAACTCAACAGAGAGACTCACTCGACGTGAACTTGAATCGGGTTCAACAAGAGGCAATGAATTTACGACACACGATTGAGATAATCACTCGTGATAAAGCCAAAATGGAGGAGGCAACAATGGAAGTGGAAAATGTCATTGTTGACTTGCGAAGGGAATTGAGTAAACCGAAAGAAGCTATGACGTCGGAATCGAGTGTGCCTGAGAATGGGAGAAATGAGAAGTTGATGTCTCAAATGGGTTGTTCTCGAGAAAAGGACAAGCTTAGTTTGCTGCTCGAGGACAATGAGAGAAAATTGAAGAAACCCGATTGAGCTCAAGAAAACGAAAACGGCGCAGGTGGAATCGTTGAATATATCATTTAAGTTTATGGGGAAGTTTTGTTGGAATAAACTTCCTTATCTCTCTTCTCTCGACATCTCCTTCACAAGAACACGAGTAGTACTTTCACAAAGCGGTATCGGAGCGTTCTATCGTTTGTGTGTTGAGATTGCTTCACAAATTAGTGAGTGTTATTTTAATAGATATAACATCAATCTCATTATTTCTCTGACTAGGTGGACATAAATATTTTCTCTAACTTCCTTGTCTCACATCGCGGTGTTTCTAAATCGATTGCAAGGCTTGTGTTGAGGTTGGCTAACTCGAGCTTCCCTCTTCAAATATGATAATGGCAGCGAGCGTAAGTTCATCATGGCCAAGATCCTTTCTCAACTATAGTGCCGACATCATTTTCATCCCTATTTGTTGGGAGGACTTGTATTCCTCTTCTCTACCTTTGAGTTTGTCGCTTCCCCACCTCTGAAAAAGTTTATTGTATTAGGGACGCCTTTGTGTCCCGTCAATAAATAAGCTAAGGAAAGAGATACTAACGGAAGCTTACAGCTAGTCATTTTCCATGCACCTAGGAGGTACTAAGATGTACCAAGATTTAAAACAACATTTTTTGTGGAGGAGAATGAACAGAGATGTGGCGGAGTTTTTGAGCACGTGTTTAGTTTGTCAACAAGTGAAACCTCCTAGACAAAAGACAGCTGGGATGTTGCAACCCCTTAATACCAGAGTGAAAGTGAGAAAACATAGCAATGGACTTCATAGTAGAACTATCAAGAACGCTGAAAGGTTATACAATGATCTGGGTAATTGTCGACTGGTTGACCAAGTTGGCACACTTCCTACCTGAGAAAACCACATATACAGTTGACAACTGGGCTCAGCTGTATGTGAAAGAGATAGTAAGATTACATGGAGTCCCTGTGTCGATAGTGTGGACCGAGACCCACGTTTTACGTCAGCATTTTGGCGCGAACTGCAAAAAACGCTAGGTACTCACCTCGGATTTAGTATTGTCTTCCAGCTCCAAACAGATGGACAAACAGAGCGCTTAAACCAAATTCTAGAGGCATGTTACATGCTTGCGTACTAGATTTTAAGGGAAGTTAGGATTCCAAACTCCACCTGATAGAATTCTCGTATAATAACAGCTTGCAAGCCACTATTGGAATAGCACCGTTTGAGGCCCTTTATGGGAAATGGTGTATGCCCCCGCTATGTTGGACGAGGTAAGCGAGAGAGAGTTAGTAGGACCTAAGTTGGTTCAAGTCACCAATGAAGTTGTCCAGAAAATTCGAGTGAGGATGTGTACCGCTCAAAGTAGGCACA